ACCACCACCACTACCACTACTACTATGGTAATATGATACCAATCATACCAGCCGTGCCGGTACTAGATTCGCTCCTTTGTTCGCTGCCAGGAAGACTCTCCCGGCGGCTTTCTTCCCGTCCAAGGGCCGCCATGTGTCGCCTCACACCGGCTCAGGCGGAATCCTGTTTGCTTCTTAAGAAAGCTGGCGGTTTATCCTTGTGGGCGCTCTGACGCGCTGCTTGCAGATTAAAGCCCCGCCGCATCAAAGATAAAAGATGAAAACGAGCAAACAACTTGAGAACTCGGGTGTACGATTCGGGGCTTGGGCGTGGATCACACATGGCCGGTGTCGAGGTGAATCTAGAAAGGATCTCAAAAGAACTGGGCATCCCAAAGCCAGTCCGTTTGTGACGGCTTCAGCGCGCACGCACGCCCGGATGCAGTTGCCGGTTGGGCTCGGCTGGGATTGTGTATCCGGAGCTTCATGTAAACAATGTAAACTGTCATCGCCCTGATCCTGCTGCGCTCAACCACATAATTAATGTGTTGGACTGGTGAGTTTCTATCTCACGAGCCGGCTGCGACCCTTAAAATCTAGAGCTCGGCTGCTCGAAGCGATACTGTTCTGCAGCACAGAAGAAGTCTGATTCGCGTGGACACGGCAGGAGGTGGAACAGAGCAGCATTCCGAATAGGTGCAACACTGTCGTCGCCATAGCCACAACAGAATGATGCTGCCCGTCGCCATTGCCGAACTTCCGTACGAACATCAACACCGCCATCTGAATCGCCGCCATCCACCATCATGACCATCGGCATCAACGTCCCCGTCCGTCATCGTCAACACCATCTTCACTAGCATGACCGTCTTCTTCGGCGACAGCAGCATCGGCTTCATCGTTGTCATCTTGATGAGCACCCGCAGACACCGCCGTCATGCTTCTTTCTTTGTTCCCTCACCCTCGTATTGCTCTTGATCGTTCGAACTGTGCCCACTATGTCGGCTGATAGAAGCCATCTTCATCTTCAGTCACCACCACCATGTTCATTACCGTCGTCCGCATCACCATCACCATCGCCAATGTCACCATCAAGCCCACTGTCACTGAGCACGTCATTGCCATCCTCATTTTTGTTGTGGTTCATTCTCATGGTGTCTGCAAAGTCTTCAGTATCGTAGTCGTTCTGATTGTCATCTTGACCCCAAGAGAGCGAGAGAGAGAGAGAGAGAGAGAGAGAGAGATAGAGAGAAAGGGGTGAGGGGGGCTTGCTCTCCCTTACCCCTAGCCCTGGTGAAAGAAAGAGAAAGCATAAACCTCACATCGGTGTTCGGTTTTGCTTAGCGCTTCAAGCATCATCATCGTCGTCATCATCATCATCATGTCGATCATCTATCTGACTAGGGTCACAGCCGCCAGAATCAGTACCACGAGCATCTGATCCACCTTTGAAAGACTTTCTGCGACTACGGATTCCATGTCTGCCTCTCTAGGGCAAGGCAGGTGCGGGTATCGGATTTACACTAATAACATATGATAGTTACTAATGAGGACAATACTAAGTTCTTTTAATCGTATGAATAAGGAAGTCCCTCCCCTGAGCCAGGTCGTGGGCTCGGAGAGAAGCCTTGGCGCCCAGCTGTTCGGATTCGAGGGGTGAGCTGAGGCTTTGGGAGCTCAGGCTCTCCTGAGATGAGGGTTTCCGAAAATAGGGGACCCTAATATAGTACCCGAAATAATAGGATCCCTATTATAAGGACCCCAAAATAAGGTACCCTAATTTTCTGAAACTCCCAAATGAGGCTCTCCTCCATTTCAAGCAGGCTTTGGGGTTTTGGGGTTCGACCTTTGGGGCTTTAGGTTGCTAGGGGACTCGCTGAGACAAGTCCGGAAAGGCTGAATATATACGCGTTTCCTCAATGTCTGTCACAGCGAAGCCTCCACACGGCCGGCTCTCGTGTGATAGCCTGGCTTATGAGCTGCCATTGGCCAACCTGTTGCTCTACTGACTTTGCAGACACCCGTTCCTTTCATGCAGATCATCCATAGTACAGGAGTGGGTGGCCAGAAAGTTCGATGGCTGTGATTTTATTGCCGAGGATATCTGGGACTTCCGAGTTTGGAAGTCGGGGTACCGGAGTTCTGGACCTGGGCTCTGAATGTACCAGTATTAGTAGCAGTATTGAGGCGCAGAGGACTTTGGCGAGACAGCTGCGCAAAAGGATACTACCTTAGAATCAAAGCTACACGATACTCTAGGCCGGACAGAAGGCTTCTGCAAGCACGAGGAAAATGCTCCTTGTCAATAATCAGCCCACTTCACTACCGAGCAGAACTTATCGAGGGTCCAGGCCCCCTCGACCATGACGACGACCACAAGACTCACAATGAGCACAGCAATGTGTTGCAGATCAACTCTACCACATTCAAGCTGCCCTTGGCGTACGGGTCGAGACTCCCACAATTGCCGCGATACTCAGAGCACCATGACCCTAACGCTAAACCCTACACCCTCCTAAACCCTAAGCCCAAACCTTAAACGGCCCTAAACCCTAAACCCCTAAACCCTAAGCCCCGAGTCCTAAACCGAGAGCCCGGGAACCCTATCATAGTCCTCAGCCGTGAAGATAAGGGTTCCCTCCCTCAGGGCCGCAGGATTGTCTCCACGAACTCATGGGGACCAGAGGCCCGGGAGCTGCCTTTAGACTTCTCAACAAACCCGAGACTTTGAGAAGGTTTGCGATGGGTTTTCTGGTGATACCAGACATCCGGCTCGTTGTAAGTATCATATGCATCATCCTCAGCTTTTGCGGAGAGCGCGCGAGAGAGACAGAGAGAGCCATGTGGTCAAACCCCTGCACCATAACCCTGGAGAAAGAAAGAAAGAGCCATGTGGTCAAGTTTGTTCTCGTTGCTGCAGCCTTCGTTTGCAGCGGCTTGTAGTGTTCGGAGCCGATCAGACTCTACTCTTCTGCGTAGGTTGCTTAGCTTCGTGCTCGGCACGTTGATCTCCTGTCGGTTGTGGGTTGGTTTTAGTTGTTGTTGTGGTTTCTGCTGTTGTTGTTGTGGTTGCCGCCAGTCGAAAGGACTGTACGTCGATCATCAGAAGCCGTGCCCAGAGTCCATCAGTTCATCTCGCAGGCAACCACTGGGAGGTGACTCTCCGCCGGCACAAGGCACTTTGGGGCTGCGGATTTAGGATGTAGGGAGGATGTACTGTGGCATGTCCATAGGACTCGCGGTTGCCGCTGTATTGCTTCTCTGTACATCACTATGGTCTCCTTTTGTCGCCAGGGTCATTTGATGCTGTTGACGAGGAGTTGGCACCATGAGCTTGCTGGGGCATTCCAGCGATGACTGTTCAGATAGGTGACGATGCAGACTGTCTTGGTTGCCAAACCTTCTTTGTCCGAAGCTTTTGGAGAGACATCAGAAACCCTATGCTGCATAGCTCGCAAGTCGTTCCCCGTGAAGTACTGGTAGGAGATCATCGGCTTTTGGTTTCTTGCGCATGCAAAGTCATCATAACCCCACTTCCCGAATTGGGGGGGCTTAATCTGGCATATGCCAACAGGTAGGCAAGTTCCACAAGGGCTGACCTCCGGGGGCCGCGTCCTCTCACGTCTCCTGCTTTGAACCTTTGATTCGCACGGCCGAACCTCGAGGTCGCGACCTGAGCTGTGAGGACCTGACGCAGGCGCCTGCCACGAGCAGCCCAGGGCTTCGCTGTTCTAAGAGTCTGCATTGCATGGATACCTTATTTTGGGGTCCTTATAATAAGGATCCTACTATTTTTAGGGTACTATATTTGGGTCCCCTATTTTCGGAACCCCCATGTCGGCTCGTATGTGCTTCGATGAGCGAACTCATGAAACCTTTTGCTGTACTCATGATCCTCGGAGCCCGAAGTCCCCTCGAGTACTCCGAAGGTTCGAGCGCCGAACCCTCAAGCCCAAACCCGCGGCCGAGACTTGACACCCAAATTGCCACAGTGTTCCTTGATATCCCCATCGTACAGTAAGTTATACCCGATGAGGCTCGGGAGCTAGTGAACAACATGACAAGATTGAAGGTTTCTTGGACAATGTGCCCATCAAGTGGATGTGCCCCCCAGCAGTGCTATTTGGTCCACAACCTTGAACAACTCGCCTCGCGACCCGCCTGACCCGCTCCATGAAGCTTTGCCCAGTGCCTTAGATGCATTGCTTATCAGAGAGCAGAGGCCATCGATGGGCATCGTCTTTTTCAGAGACCACCGAAATCTCGTCTCCGGAATCTCGCCTGGGTACCTAGCCATTTTTCCCGAAACGAAGGGGTCGGGAAGATCTGGAAGCCAAATTCTCCCAATCTATTTGAGCGACACAGGCCATGAAACATGCACTATCAAGACCATGGCAACCCTTTCTCTTGCAGGTTCTCCTGTTGTTGCTTGCGATTCCAGTGGACGTGCGGTTTTCCAGTTGATGACAGTGAGGGGATAAAGGGTTTTGGGGCGCAGTTGCAGCGCTCAAGCCACCACGGCAGCTTGCACTTCCGCGACAAACAACGAAGAGCAGGCCGCCCTGCTGCAGACTCCAAGACGCGATCATCGAGCCAGCGATGTCATCGATGACGAGTTGGATCACGACAAACCCGGGGAGGCATTTCTCATTGCGTTGGTAGGCGCCGCCAGCGAAATGGAAGTCTCAACCACTATGGTTGTTGTGGCGCATGCCGGTGCCGACGACGCATGTGTAGCAATTGCCGTCAAGACGCGGTGCTCGTTGAGGTATAAATCAAAATGACCCAGGCAGCAATGACTTACCACCCTGATGGCAATCATCCCCCACTTTTGGTGGAGACGTTTTGTTTAGAAGCCGCGCCCGGTGCTGGGATATGATGTTCTGACTTATAGCCTGCTCCCCTTTGTCTGTCCAGCTCTCTCCAGGCTGCTGCGGTCAAAAAAAAGTCGCCTGATGAAACCTGCTGAAATATCTCTACGCATGGCACTTCCGCAACACTCTGCACCAAAATGAGTTGACACTCCCGAAGACTCATAATTAACATGAAGGGAATGATTTAGTTTCCTTATCACATTTTTGGAATGTCGTGGTTTACAGGAACGAAGCGGAGCTCTCTCGTTCTAAATAGACATGGGAAGCGTGGGTTTTGAAGGGCAGGCGCAAACCTGGTCAGGATTCCGAGATCTCTCGGTAGTGCAGTTTGGGTTGCACATGAGGAAGTTCTAGGCCCTGAAGACGACATTCAATCGGGGTGAGGTCTCGGAGATCCACGTGTAGTGTAGGAGATGCCGAGGGATCGGGAGGTGCGCCGAAGCATACGACGGCCATTTTGGACATAGCAGCCACAACGCCCAAGGCAAGAAGTCGTGTATCGTAGTATAGCAAGCATTGCCGTGCTGTCCCTACGGCTTGTGTTTTTGATTCCGTCAGTTGGCACGTACTTGTTGCAAGATTTCAGGCTTTAATTAAGCTATTCCCGTATCTAAAGATCACGGTCGGAGGATGCCAGAAGACGGCCTTCATATAAACAGGAGCAGGGGGCTTTTGATGAAGTTTCTGCGTTGTGATCCGAAGCACCGGCTCCCGTGCAAGGCCGTCGAGGCCTCGGCTCCAGCCAGGGCCTTTGCCGCAAACTCCAGTAGAAGGGTTTACAGTTTCGGGTTTGGGGTTTAGGGTATTGGGCTTAGGGTTTAGGTGTGAATTTACAGTTTAGGTTTCGGGTTTGGGGGTTTAGGGTATTGGGCTTAGGGTTTAGGTGTGAATTTA